TTGGGGCTAATGCTGGTGCAGAGGGGCTCCTGTACTTTGAAGGGACTCCAGGTGGTCTGTGTGGCTTTGTGTACTTCTGCATGTTCCGGCGTCCCTTGTTGTGCTCCCTAAACGAGGTTTGGCGACTCATGGAACACCTCAAGCGCAAGCGCTACCCTGTGGTTTGCTGTTCAAAAGCTGGCACCCCCCAACAGATTTTATCTCGTGAAAGAGGCTAAACTCAACTTAATGTACTCCGGTGTTCAGAACATATCGCAGTCCTTGGGAGTCCTTGGGGTTGAAACATGTTGGTCTACTTGGCAGGTGGTACCTATCAACTTCAGTTGTGCCTAGTTCCTTTTCAATGCTCCAGCCTCCAGCGGTCTAATTGCCGGGCTGGAGGGGTCACAGAGATCCAAGCTGCCCGAACATTGAACCATCCCCAAGCATGCTCTACAAGATGGGCCATGTGTTGGGTTATGTTTTTTTGTTTATGCGAGCAGTTGGCCACGACTTATGATCTTTCCTACTACAAGCATTTTACCATGAATGATCGCCATATTATATCGCTGATCACAGCACTTCATATTTAGTTGGTGCCATGTGCTAAAGGACACAGCCTGTCTGCAGAGGTGGGCCTAACGATGTACCCGACGAAGTCCCTCTTTGATTTTCAACGGGTCAAGAATCTCCAGCCTGCAGCGCGGATAACGATCTCCTTTACAATCACTGAGAAGCTTGGCAAAGCAAAAGTGTTTTTCCATATTTCATCAATCTTTCATGGTGCTGTGCATTTTTTCGTGGACCAAGGCATCCCATGATACTTTTAACCCGTATGATGAGAACATCCCATGATTGATTGGGTTGACCTTGTACCCTGACGGTGGGATGCTGTCCATCAGCAGTAGGTACCACATTCTCCCGAAAAGAAACGCGCAAATGAGAGCACACAACTATATATGAGAGCACAGATATGAGAGCAGCATACATGAGAGCACGACGCACATGAGCGCACACATGTGAGAGCTTACAAACATGAGGCACAGACATGCACGGCGCCACAACGATAGCGCAGTTGCGAAACAGGTGCGACCACGGCCCATCAAAGTAGTGCACCTGCCACAAGAAACGACCATGCAACAATCATGAGGACAGCTTTTACGTGAAGGTCGACCAAAACGATCGAGCCGCAAACGCGAACAGTCCCCTTAGTTGCAAGCAACCTGCTTGGAGGAAAATTAGATCTCTGGGGCGGAAGCAGCTTGCCTGCCACAGGTGTTGGGAAGGTCGGAAGGTACCAAGGAGAAACATATCATTCCAAGGTGGCTTGCTTTGAGGCACACGGTTCTTTTTGCAGGTTGCAGGGCTGCAGGCATGGATTGGGATTTGACCCCCAGCAGCCCAGCGTCAGGAATAGCATTCTGCTGGCAACTCCCGGTGGTGATCTGGTTAGAGCTCCTGGTGACTATGTGCTAACATTTGAGAACGGCGCAGGGGAGATTTTGTCGAAGGATCTCACCATTCATGGTGAGCAGGTTGTAGTTGAGCCCTTTCCTGGCAAAGTGTCTTCGGAGATCTTTGTATAAAGACGTGTCCAGAGATGTCCAGATGATTGGCGCAAGATTGACATTTGACTTGCTCCATGATACTCTCGAGAAAAGTGCGAGGTGGCAATGCAGAGCGGTGAGCAAATTTTCTCGTCCATGGTTTGCGCGCTGTTTAGGGCCAGCTCAGGGCACGGGCAAGGTTTGTGTCAGATTTTTCCTGGTTCTATCCATCAGGAGTGTGCTGAAGAATATTGACAGCCCAGAAATATGAGCCCACACCGTTTGCGCAGAACAATGAGGGTGCCCTTAGTTTTTGTCTTTTCGGGCAAATCACATTCTATGTGACGCGCATTTGTGACGTCGCAAGCTGGCTGTTGTGTTTTTAGTATCGAGGTTGCTGCAAGCTGTAACCCAAAGTCCACTTTGCCAAAGCTTTCAGTCCAAATGGTTCACGAATGTTCTGTAGACAATGTGCAGTCACGTGTTGACAAGAATTTGCAGCGAATGAGCCATGGTTGCGGCGGCTCAGAGTTGAGTTGGCCGAGACAGAGGTCAAGAGCGTGAGGAAGTTTCCTCAGTTCTTTCGGCTGCTCATCAGGTGTGGCTGGTCTTTCTTTTTGTGAATGCCGAATGCACTTCACAAGCTGCAAAAGCTGACGTGCGCTTGACACTTGGCCATTTGCAGCTATCATCTAGGATCGGTGTGCCCTCCCAGTCCTTGTAGTGGAAGCCAGATAGATATGGCAGATGCATCCATGATGGAAGCCTTGGCTACGAGCAACGATTGGAGGATCCGTTACGTGGCTTGGTTGCCTTTGTTCACAAGACGATTTGTTGGATGTTGAAAAATCATCAAGTGTAAGTGAGATGCCTATGCTACTGTTCACGAATGTCTTCTTGCTTTGAGGAGAACTTCCTCCGCCTGCGGGAGTTGGGGCCGAAGGTCATTGCGGAGCAAGCAGAAGCCCTTGAAGGTAGGACCTCAGCAAGCATCCAATTTGAATCACCATGAATTTCACACTGCCTCTGCCTCTGGCTCCGCAAGCATTGGATCAATGAAGTACTTGCCAAGTAAGCCAAGGTCAACGAGTCATAAGACCACTGACTCAAGTTCACTCAAAATGTGCAGTACAGTACACAGGCAATCTCTGGCAGAGCCGGTGGGCGGAAGTTTCAAAAGCGCACAAACTATAGGATACTATAGGTCTGTGCGACAGATTGTGAATTGAATACTGTTTTGCTTACGCCTAGGCCCGGCGGCGGTTGGGATACCGAAGGTTTTGCCCTGCTTTAGTGGGTAGCCTATACCAAAGGATGTGGCATGCACAGCGATTTGGCATCGAATGTTGCAAACCACGTAGCTCAAGTGCATCAGCAGCGACGCAGGTGGCTGCTGCCACTGGGCGGCTTCTGCGACCGAAGGCTTTCCGCGGCTTGCGCAAGTGAACTAGATTAACTAGATGGGCTAAGCCTGTGGCGGGGTTTCCCTGGTGGCTGTTGCGCCTTTTCCGTGTGCCGCCTGCGACCCTGCCTGTGGGTGACTTGGGCTTCTCATTAAGTGGGCTTCGAGGCTGGTGCCTGAGATGCTTTTGTGCGAAGAACTAGATTTAGATCGGCCATGGCCGGGGCATTTTCATTGTCGCAGAGTGGCTGTCGCGTCACACCACAGAAGGATGAAGAGAATCGATGCTCAGCGCATGGAGATCAGAATGCCCGTGGCATGCTCCGCCAGCGCTGGAAGCGCAACCATAAGCGTCGAAAAGAAAGTGGAGCTGTGCGAAGCGTCTCTGAGGTGTGCAAGCTGGGGGTAAGAATGTCATGTTGCCTCGCAAGTTTTGATGAATCCCATCAAGGCGCACAGATGCATTGCTTTGTCCAATGACTGTGTCGCCCCCTGACTGTTCTTTTTGTGCCGGCCCGCGGTGCGCGACCATGCGCTCGCCATTGGTTACATTTCGTAACTTGGAACTCTCTCTTCGAAACTGCCATTGGTTTTGACAATGGATTCTAATTCAAATTGCTACCACGTCAAAACAACGATTACTAAGCGAGACAAACGCTCGGGGAGCATTGAGACGACGTACGCGCATGATAGTTTGTCCACTCCTTCCTTGGAACCTGGAGATCTCGGAGCTGTGGCAAAGCGCAACAGACCTAAAAGGAACGTGCCAAGCCCCTGTGTAGCTGCATGAAATAGCCAATGCCGCTCCCAGTGCAGCCTCTTGATGGTTACGCCAGATGAGGTCCAAGTGGCTTGGCTGCAAAATCAGTCAGTCGTTGTGTTTCATGTGACGTCGTGCACAACGAGCTGCGCAAGACCCAAAAACACATCTTTCAGAGCTTGGTTGCTGAAACGGCGAGAGTGAAGGTGCTTGAAGATGGTTTCCGATCTGAAGAGGCAAGAAACTCACTTGGCAGCGCAGCAGTACGGTAGCTTAAGTCTTAGAGGCATGGTAACCATGTTACACTTGTTGTAAGCTGGCGGCCGCGGTATGCCTCCGGACAGGGAAAGACGATCTTGGATACCTTGCAAAGACTGGCTCGGCTGCTGAATGCAGAGGGCTTCAAGGAGACATGTCTCGGTTCTTTGCCTTCTGTGGTTTGTAGAATTCAATACGTTTGTCTATCCAACCCTTTACAGTTTTGGTTAATGATCCTTGAGCCGAGGAGGCTGGCCAAAAAGTGATTGAACTCCATGGACTTTCAGCGTCTGCTGTGAATCGAGAGGACCAGTCCACTTTTTGATTGTTGCAGATCTTCTGCGACAGTTTTCAACGCTCATCTGGATCCATGTTTTTAGATGCTTTTGGATTGTATCGGTAGTGTGACAAATATTGTGAGATTGACCCAGGAACCGGAGAATTTGTGCGTTCAACTTCTCTCAAAGATTTTGCGCTGCGCGGAATAGCGTAGCAAAGTTTCTCTTTCCAACGTGCTGCAGCAAGCAGAAATTCAACGCAGACCACAGGCTTTCACGGCTTAAGCGCCAAAGTATTTCTCGCTGATGAAACAGCGACCAAAAAGTCTGTGTGCAATCAGTGCAAACTACGGAGCCAGGCAACCTCTGAGCAGCAATTTTGAAGCAACGCGCGCTGGGACGGTAATTCCGTCGCGTTGTTTGTCTATGGTCAGTTTGTTGTAGATGTTTGGCAGTTTTGTTTGAGTATGATACTCATAGAGTCATAGAGGAGATTGACAGTTCTTAAATTTGTTGTGTGCTCAGAATGACCTTAAAGCCTGCTTGTGTGAATACGAAGCAACATCCCGCAGTGGCGCGCTCCCTTCTAAGTTTACTAGCTTGGTCCTTAGCCGGTGTCTTTATATATATGTATATGCAACGCAAGAAGAGCACCTTCTTAACACTCCGTTCGCAGATTGTTGGTTCATGGAGCGAGGAACAGCTCATTTCGATCAGTCGCATCGCACTCCACTGCCATATTCCGAGCTCTATCCCACACGCGCTGGAGACGAGTCTGCCGCGCATGGTAGCGGAGCCTGCGGGCTCCTCCGCAGGGGCACGAGTTAAGAACGTCGCAGAAGAGACCACGAGGCATGCTTCAAGTCGAGCGCGCGAAGGACGGCCTTCCTTTACAAGCAATACTCACAGGAACAGCCCGTTTACGAGGCCAGGCTGGATGGATTTCTTGTTTGGGAGGAGTCCAGTGGTTGGTAGAGCAACTGAGGCGCAATGTGGGACAATCTCAGAACGAAGGATGACGCCGGAAGAAAGAGCGATTCGATCTTGCAAAGGGGCAAACTTCCTCTCCGCCCGGGCTCTCCCTTGACAAAAGAGATCGATCAGCACGGCTTCCAGGGCCCCAAATATGAAGAACGGGCGGCTCATGGTTTCTGTTGCTTGGTCCATGTTTACCAGCAATGCGCTCTCGTCGGAGAATTTCATGGCTTAGGTTCAGCAACTTGGCTCAGTTTCAGTTTTTGCAAGAGAAAGAAAAGAAAGCAAAACGCCTACTCACTCACCGTCGAACTGTAGGCGTAAAAAAAGGAACGGTAAAAGCGCAGAGGTGTAAAGCCCACGGATGATGATGTCAGAGCTTAAGTTGTTGTTGCAAAAACTTCCTGGCTGGGCTAAGGCCATCAACCCTAGGAAGGGTTCTCCAACAGATGTTGAGCCATCCCTTCCAAGTGTTGGCGATAGGCCTCCGAAACCATGAAGGGGTAATTTGGAAGCTGGGTGCCAAAGGCGCATTCCAAGCGGCGGCGAAAACAGAAAACTTAATTGCTGACGCCGAAACCGTTGCCAAGGTTTTGTCAATTCCCGAATTTACCTTCCTGCTGTCGTGCTCCCTTCTACGAAAGGGAAGACCCTCCAAACCAAAGGGGCCATTAACCGCACAAAAGAACTTGACCACGCAAAAGAATGCCTGATTCAAGCGCAAGAAAGCAGTGTGCAATCATTTTTGGGCCTTTAGCGCCGATGTGGTTTGCGCGCTCCGATTTGCACCTCTGGGGTTCCTTTCTGAAAACACCAGTGAACAAAACGAGCGCTCCATTGTGGTGAGATGGTTTGTTTCTCACACTCCACTTGGGTGGTCAGAGGCTGACCTTCTTTTGTGGTGCTCCCAGCAGAGTTTTGCGACAGCTAACTCCGTTGTCTGACATGGGTCTTAAGAGTTGGTTTGTTCGCGCGCCTTTCCTCCGAAGGGTGTCCCCCCCAAAGCGTTTTCTTTTGCAAGCGGAATCACCTGTGCTCATGCCGCCCCAAGATTAACAGCTTCAACGATCCATGAGGGTTCTTTTGCTCGATCTGTCTGGGGGGCCCCTGAACCTTCCCTGCCGTCTTCAAAGCTTGATGTGGGGGACCAAGGTGCAAAGTTGCCCCCAACCGAGGACTTGTGAGAGACTTCAATGCTCAAGGTGGGTTTCAATCGCAGCCTCGAGTTTTGGCTGGTCGTGAAGTCGAGCGCAGTCCAATGTGAATATATGATCGAGCATCGTCCAGATTTTGCACCAAAAACAATGAAAGCTTGGACTTACGCTGAAGCCCGCTCGTTGTTGGCGCTCGCGAGACTAGCCATTCCGACATCTATTCCGGAGCGGTGGGATTTCTATCGTTTGTACAAGCCTTCTACCCAACAGAAGTGTTCCGCTATGGTCATCTGTCTTTTGTTAAAGAACAAGAAAGGAAATTCCGGACGGCGGGATTCTTGAAGACAAATGACTGTGGCATTAAAGCGGGAGGCCATACGAAGAACTTCCACAAGCCTATCTTTAGTCAGGGCAGCAACGCTGACAAAGACAACCGTGTGACAACGAGGCTTGGGCGGAGAAGAGCAAGCGCCGCTGACCAGGCTACCACAGCTCCTTCTTTCTAGTCGTGGATTGAGCCACGGCCTTAAACCCCTTTGGCCGAGCCAGACGTACGCACTTTCTCCCATTGTTTGCGCTCCAAGTGATTTGATACTGTGCCAAGCTGCATCCTTGCGGCCAATGCTTGGTCGGTGCAGTGGCCCTCCTTCCTGTGGAGATGCTTGGCGCAATGCTGCGTTGGAGGCGCAGCTGTGTGCGCGCGAACCGTTGCGCGAGGACGCGAGGTGGCTTGACTTGGCCGGCCTTGATGGCTGGACAAATATCAAAATCAAATTCCTTGCCAAGCCTGGCCTTGGCTCCTGCAGAAGGTATTTGACGTTTTTTCGTCTTGAATATTTTTCCGATGAAATTTCCACTTCTTCCAACTTGCCTTACGCATTCTTTTTGCTCGGAAGCTTGTGGGTATCCTGTCAGGGGCCTGCGACGAACCTCGGCCCATTACTGTCAGCTCCATTTTGTTACGTTCTTGGAACAAGGCGCTACTTGCCACATGGGCAGGCCGGAAAAATTTCGGCGTCGCGCGCGCAACGGCCAACTGGATAGCTCATTCCGGCTCATTCCAGCAAATGCGGGGCAGAAACTGAACTTTGTAAAGCCTTTTATTTGATTCTGTCAATTCGGGGGGCGGCTAAAGCAGCCTATTTGC